CCAGGGCGGCTCGTACTGCATTTGCTGCGCGATTAAACACTAATTCGGGATGACACTTCATTGGCCACAAACGACAGCAAACACGGGGTGAAGATCAGTTCAGAATGGGAGCCACTTAGCGCTGCCATACCGCGAAACGGCCAAACCGCAAGCCAAACCTGTCGCTGAAGGCCCTTGGAATGCTCGGAACCGGTCGGGTCCTTAAGACCGTATACGACCGCAGCGTCGCCGCATACATCCGGGACCTTTCTACGCTCACCGCTCGTCGGTGCCAGATCCCACTACACCTTTCTAGTATGCGCCGCCTTTTCTACCGCTTGGTGGCGGGTATGTCGACAGGTCATTTCTTGTTTCCGGACTTTATGAACTGCATTAGTTTCTTTTCTAATCTAAAATACTGAACAAAAACTACTTTTTATAAATAATTGAAACGGTTCGCACCACTTATATTTTTTATTTCGACTAAAAAAAAAAGCTTTTAGCGGCTCTGACCAGTAGCAAGCCTAGGACCAAAGACGTCACATATCGCACGCTTTCGGCACCGCGGGTCGCCCCCATAAGTGGAGGAGGTTTCTGTGTCGTTCGGTTAAAATATGATGCACCGATATTTAATAACTCTCTCCGTGCCCGCTGGCTTGCCCGAACTCCAAGAGACGTGGAAACCGCAAAAAAGGTAGACGCTTAAATATGATTGCAGGGCCCCTCCCTCTAAGCTTTGGCACCGCACCGCGCATCTGTCGCCCAGATTTTCTCGCGGTAGCCAGACGACGCAACTCTTGCCGTGCGCCGATGGTCAAAGTCTGCAACTTGCCGATGCTTCTCCACCTGGTCCCCCTCAAGGAAGACCTCTGTCGAGGGCCACTCCAGTTTCGGTTTCTCCAGCGGCTTTGGCATCCCGGTCCGCAGGCTCCGCCGTCGGCAACTGCACTGCTCCATACTTGGACAGTCCTGGGGTGTCCCCGAACATGAGCGGAAAGAGGAAAAGGTCGTCACTCTTACGCAGAAGATCCTCGACGATCCGGATCGTGCGCTCCACCTCCGGTTTGGCTGCTGAAAGCGTGAGCCGCTCGTGATGCGCTCAAAGTCGTAGACGAGAAAGAAGTTTGCGAACTCCGCCGCCGAAGACTGCGGGCCGTCGTCGCTGCGGACAGTCGCCAAAATACCATAGCGCTCCAAATCGCCCTTCACGGCTGCGGTTCACTCTCCGGTGCCCCTCTTGGACTGAAAGACCTTGTCCCGAAGCGACGCCGGGATTACGAGACGATGCCCTTCGAGGAGCGAGCCGTCGCATGCAGTGAACTTGCCCAGGCGTTTCCAGTATTTGAGCAGGCTGACCGGAACTTTTTGCTTCACGAGCTAGTCCCGTTCGTGGTACTTGTGAAGTGCAACGCTTTCGCCATCTGAAGCGCGCTCGTATTGTAACTTGTCCAGCCCCACAGGCGATCCATCCTGGATCGTGTGGACGACGCTGTCCAAAAACGGCTTTGTGGCACGTACAGTTGGTGGTGCTTGCCCCATCGGCGCTCTAGACGGGGTGTCGACGGTAGCCAATGATTTGCCAGGAACATGGCGTATCCGGGATTGATGCCTCATTAGCTTGAGGCGGAGGCGTTGCTACATCGGCGGGAGCATATCAGCATCCATGTTCTCAAACAGAGGTAAAGGAAACGTGGTCAGTCTCTACCATGAACTGCAGACCACGAATGTATTCGTCGAATCGTTGAACTGTCCAGGTGACCGCCAAAGCCTCCCTTTCGGACTGGCCATACCGCCGTTCCTTAGGTGTTGAGGAGCGGGATGCAAAAGCCGCCGCACGCCGCTCCGAAGAAAACTGGTCCTGCAGGAGCATCGCACAAAGTCCGAACGAGCTGGCATCGGCCAAAGCAATTGTTGGCAACACTGTGTGGTACCTGGCCATGCAGACCTTTGAAGACGGCATCATCTTCAGCATCGGGAAGGCAGCCTGCCGGTCACATCTCCGAGTCCGGGCACCGTTTTTGCTTGGCAATGCCCGAAGGAGAGCCATCGTGTCTGAGAGGTGCAGCAGAAACCCGCCGACGTGGTTCACCGTCCCCAGAAGTTTTCGGATGCCTCCGATGTCAACTGGTCGCTCTGCGTGTTGGACTGTCCCGCACTTCTTGGGTCCGGCAGAATCCCGTGCTTGTTGACGATGACACCGCGGAAGTCGACGCCGATCACGCTGAACTTACATTTTGACTCCTTGAACACCGCACCGGCACTGGTTGGGCTGCAACACCTCCTTCAAGCGCTGGTCATGCTCAAAATGGTTCTGGACAAAGACGAGAATGTTGTCGATCGCATTTATTGCACTGGCCTGCCCGTCCAAAATGTTGGACATCACCCGCTGAAAACGCTCTGGCGGAGATGTGATCCGAAAGGCAGATGGCAGAAGCAGTAATGCCCAAACAGAGTTATGAAAGACGTCGACTCTCGATGCTCCTCAACCTGCTTGACCCAATCCGAACCCCCTCCCACGAATGTGGGCGTGAGTTTGGAGTCCACTTCTAACACCATGTAGAGGAACATACTCCAGAAACTGAGGCCGGTAACGTAATACCGAGCTGCTTTGCTGCAGCTTTATTTATGTACAGACGTAAGGGAAGCGTGGTGCCCTTTAGGTCGGTAGTTTTACAGGTTAGTTGCGCCATCCAACAGCTGGCAATAGGCGAAGCTACTAAAAGGATGGCAATCGCTACGGCAACTGTTTCGTGCCGTTTGTTTTCTCTCTCTCCCCCCTCGGCACAGACAGATGCTTCACGTTTTGAGCGATATAAACTTTGATTGTAAGGACATTAATGAGTGATACAAACTGAAGCACTAGGGTGCCTCAATGCTGGCGCTGTTTGCGACAGCTAGCCCTCGGTAACTGACGGCAAACTCCACCGCAGTTAACGCACTATACTTGATGTTAACATCTTTGTCGAGGTTAGCATAGTTTCTGCAGCGCTCCAACACTGTCGAAGCTACTTGCACAAGCATGTGGGTTCCCTTGGTATCTCTTTTCCACGGCAGCGGGTGCGAATGAAGTGCAAGACAAAAGTCCCATTTTCTTGCACCAGTGCGGGGCTGCACCACTGTGGATGATACGATTGCCTGGACATTACTGTACAAAAACGTTGACGCCGAATATATGCAGACATCCCACATCCAAATGCGGAAAGAATGGCAAATCGCATTTTGCTTACTTACTGGACAATATACAGCAAGGAAAGTTTTTTTAATACTATAAGCACACTTTATAAGAACACATTTGTTAGTTTTTAAGCCTGACAATCAAACCTTGCAAGAATGACTTTGTGCAGTGAATTCACTATGCACAAATCTTGATCATGACGCACTCGCTCTCCCTTAGGCGCTCAGGCTTAAAGCCCCGAGTCGCTACACTAACGCCATCCTAGAAGAGAGGGGCTGCAGCGCTCTCAGTGATGGAAGTGGCATTCAACCTTTTTGCAGCAGGTTCTGTAGCAGGCAAAATATTGGTTTGGAGCAGCCACCGACGCTTTTGGAGCAGATGCCAACATCTGTCAGCACATCACATGAGAATTAGGTACAGTGATTGCATCTCGAAATAAATTCATTTATGATAGCGATCAAGGGTTCCTTCGAGCATATTATTATTGTTTGTGACAAGAAGAGATAGGGCGTAACAGGAACAGTCTTCTTAAATAAGGCTCTAGTCTGAGTAGGTTTAATTTATAGTGGGTAGTAAAACATGGTTGAAATGTGGATCATAGTGCAACACTTCATTGGGCTAAATCCTTTCCCCTTTCCATTTTACACTTGGTAGTTTGTTTAGCCTGTAAATATAATTTCTTTAAAATGCCAGCAAGAACCAGCATGCAAAAATGTTCCAAAAGCTGGCTGAATTCATGATTGAAAAGGTTTACTCCGACTTAACAAATTAACAACAAAAAGGTACAGACGTTTTGCCTCCTACGCAGGTACGTGGCATCTTCAGTATACACTGACACACACGAGGCGAGGTCGACCAGCCTCGTTTGTGTCAGTGTATACTGAAGATGCCACCTGCAGAGGTGGCGAAACAACTGTACCGTTGTTATTAATTTGTTAAGTCGGAGTAAACCTTTTCAATCAAGAACCAGCATATCTGCTAACCCGTCTACCAATAAAAGTGCGTCCCACAAGTTTAATGAACCTACGAAACTCGAGACTCTTATATCATAAACTGCAAAAACAACCACACAAGAGCATTTTAAAAGCTTACAGTTATGCTTTAGAGGCGACACTGCCCCTTAGTGACGTAGGAACCAGAGTGTCATCAAAGTTTGCTGCTCTTTCGATGGACAGGTGCGGAGGGACTATCGTTACTACCGTATTTATTCAAATTTATACAGACCAGTGTCTTCTTCTGTCTTTCTCTGCTCAGTATTTCTTTAAATTAGAGTAACTTGACAAAGAAGGTCGACCTGTAATAATCCTGAGCATAATTTGTGCTAAGCCAGGCCTGGTCAGCCGCTGCTCCTAGCACTCCGGTGCAACGCTATGAAGCTTGATGCGCACACGCTGATGAGGCGGGGAAGGTACTCTGCAGTCACGCAACGAAGGCATATGGCAGACATGATAATTGAGTGATCTCATCAGGGGTAGAAAACCCTGGTTTTGTTTTATCACAGTAGCCGCAATTGGCAATCTTACTATTTGGAAGTTTTCTCGGGACTGTTGGTTCGCGGCATCGACGACATTGTCTGGAAATTTAGATGATGTCGGCGATCAACCGGCCAGAGCAGTTGGTGCCCAGCATCAATGGCTCTGGCCAGTTGATTTGCAGCATCCAAGAGCAATATCATTGCATTCATCATCTTGTCTGTGTTCTTTCATTGGCTAAAACAATCAAGTACTGCAAATGACGTGTGACCTCCACTTTCAGCAAGTGTGTTTGTAGTTGATATGTTCCAGCCTTCAACTGTTCTCTGACCAAAGACGAGGCAAACTATACGGCGAGTAGAGACGCTGCGAAATTCATATTTGTACCATTTTTCTTTCCTTCTACTTCTCTAAATACAAAGTTCTACAATAAAAAAAAACTTTTTTTTTTTTTTCTTTAAGCCCATCTCGGCACAGGTGCAGCGCATTTCTTAGCAAAAATGGCATTTTAGCACTAGATGTAGCACTTTCCTTCATGACGCAATTTGGCACAACACTGTGCGCTTAACACTGCAGTATAGCGCTGAAGGAATTGTCACAAGAGTAAAGGAGTCTCTTAGTGATATAGCAAGATTTTTTGTAGTTCAAAATGTTACCTAACATTTGAGGTACAAGGCCTTTATTTACATGTGTAACTTGTGACAGATGCAGACTTTGTGACAAACATCTGTGACTTGAGCCAGAAAATATTTTGTCGTTAAGTTAAAGAGAAGTATTTACAAAAAAGCAATTGCACTCTCTTCTGCAGTTTTCAGCATATGCAGTACGGGAATGTGAAGGAAGTTACTGGGCTTTCCTTTTCCTCGATCTAGCACTAGAAACAACAGTTTCTACGCTCACATTGCAGAAAAAATTCTTCAGTAAAATGTCTGTGCTGCACCACAACACGTGTCTCAGTAAAAGCTCGCTCGTGTGTCCATTATCGCAGACATTGATGTCAGAAAGCTCTTTGTTGGATAGTAGCTCCACAGCGAAATCCGTGACAAAATGGTGCCGGTTCGGCACCTTCAAGAATTCTGCCTGCTTCGACAGTTCCTCAATGACGACATAGCTGTACACGACGGCATTTACTGCAAACATTGTTGGGAAAAGAAGTCCTTCTCCTCCCAGTTCCTTGACAAGTTCGCAGTGTTGCTGTTCAACAGGGATGGTGATCATCTTGTTTATTGTCAATGCAGCTCTGCAGTTTGCGCAACTCAGCCTTTTCAGGGTGGCGTGAACTGCATGTCCGGCCACATAGACCAGGACAGGGAGGACATCTCTTATTTTTGACAGTGCCTCTTCGGTTACGTCTGCATCAAGGTCAGGAAGCAACAAGTGATCTCGTTTGTGAAGGTCCTCCCACCGTTCGTCTCCATCTGCTTCGCAAACATCGGCAATCGTCGGCAGCGTGTTTTGCAGCAGCACTTCGTCTTCGTCTTCATAAAGCTGCCTTATGGACATGTGATACTGGGAGCCAGCCAGTTTCCTGTACGTCCCAAAGCGCTCATCTAAGCTGTCGGTCCGAATCTTCCCCAGGAGGACATAGGGCAGCTTGAGCTCGGTGAAGCAGTAGCTGATGACCTCCACAAAAGCATGAGTTGTCTGCTGAAGAGCAGTGTGGGTATCCTTGGAAAGCATACCACTGTCCAGATCTTTGCTCTTCCATTCGTCCAGCCAGTCCAGGAGCTTGTACAGGAAGTCCACGTTGGGATCATCCTCTGAAGATGATGCCGGGTTCTGGTGTTGGTCTTTCCTCGTTTTTCCTGGAACTACCATGCTCACGATTCTCCACCACTTGACTATGATCTCGATGAAGGCCATAGTTCCCTTGAGGAATTTTACGTCGTACATCACTCCGAGAGAACGAAGTGCCTTGGGCAGTGTGTTGTTAAAAATCTCCAAAGTGAGTTTCAAGTCGTGTCTTTCGACGTTCGACGGGTAAAGGGCTTCTCTCGGCACGTTGAGGTACCTCATCTGGTCGTCGCACTCCAAGTTGTATGCCTCTCTGACAGTTGCAAACGATGCGCACAACAACTCCTGCGCCTGTGTCAGCCCAGGCTTGAACTCAGGAAAGAAAAACCCAAGCAGGTCGTTCTTTTGGTCGAGCCAATCGTTGCGTATGCTCTTGAGTATGTGCACTGGGTCTATCACAAAGAACAGCGGCCTTGCAGGATCGGACGGGTGTGGATAGACGAATCCGCTGGTCGGAGGCGACGTGAAGTGGGACACTGCCTTCCTGTTCACCGAGGTGTCGCCGCTTACAATGCAAGCAACCCTATACCCTCTTTTCTCCAGCCCACAAATCACGTCTCTCAGCAACTTGTGCAGATACTGCGCGCTGGCTTTTTGTACAGGGACCATGTGTGCCACTTCTTTGAATTGGCATGTGAGGCTTTGGACCGTAAAGACAAGCATGCTGTTAGCCGCTTCCGCGGAGTTGAGTGTCGCACCAGTGATGCCTCCTTTGTACTCAAAGTAAGGTTCGATGTGGATCTCGTCCACCAGCAAGACCATGAAACGATGCTGATCCTCCAAATCGGAGATCCTCTTCGCCACGTAGCCGAGGAATGTTGCGCTGTGGTGCTCTGGTTGGAGATTGCTTCCAAAAGACGAGCACGTCGATCGGATGGTGATCGGGTGTGGCAGAATAACGCTTCCAGAGCTGCGGATGTACTTGTAAGCATGAGGTGATATGGTAAAAAGAAGGCAGGAAAACACCGTGAGGTCAACTGAGTAACCCTTGTGCCGCTTGTTTGCCGAGAGTTGTTCCAACTGCTCACCAAGGAACTCAATGACATGGGCCTTGTCTTTCGTTGCTTTTGCAGACAACTTGCCAAGCAACAAACGAATAGTATTGCAGATGTCCTTGTCCAAACTTTCAGAACCTGAACTGGGGTCACCATCCCACTTCTCAATGCTCTCGAGGAGCTCCACCATTGCAACCTTGCTCTTTGCGACGGTCGGAATGCGCAAGTCTGGTCCCAGCCTCAAGACTGGCGTCTTAACTACATGAAAGGTGAGAGTCAAGTTGGCTTTCACGACAATCGAATATTTGATCCATGGCGCTGCATCTTCAACAATGTGCATGAAGAGGAGGCGTTCACTGCCTTCAACCATGTGCCAGAATGCAGAGCGTTGTTGGCTTTTCATGTAGTCGGCCAGACCTTGCACGCTGCGAATCGTGTCTGCCTCTTTCTGCGCGCTCAGTACGTGACTTGAACAGAACCTCGATGGAATGGCGTGTGGACGAATGCGGGGCTTCCTGGGTACAGTCACCTCGTTTCCGGTAGCAACGTCGACACCATATATCTCTCGAACGATGTCGTCGTCCGTGAAGTGAAGTTCGCATACCTAGGGAAAGGCAAGTTCAACTTTTTATTGCCAAGTGCTACTTGAGTGTGATGAGATGTTACGCGAGAGTTACGCTTGGAGGCCTTAGTAACTACAATGCTACTTGTCAGTCTGCAAAGCGAATGAGGATTGGAAAGGCTGGAGAATTTCTCACCGTGGAGTGTTTCGAAGGAACGAAACCTGGTCGTGATATAGCGTGCAGCCATGCCTTCCGCAGGTCTTCGTCTTGGGGAAACTGGAACACGGCCACTCTAGGTCCTGACGCGTAATTGCCGCGACACCCGGGCACACAGCACTTGTTCACCATGTCGACATTAATGCTGCAGCGCCGTAACTGCACTCAGAAACGCACACAAACGAAAATGACGGCTGCCACCGAATGCAGACCGGATTAGTGCAAGTGTCAAAAGAAACCACACTCAACTAAACGCTTGTCGAACGCCAACGTTGTACTTGGTTGTACTTGTGCGCGAAATGTCAGGTCACGAGACACAAGGTTCTTCACCCGACGGTTCGACCGCTCGTGTACCACGGTACACCTCTAGGTACTGTACACGGACACACACACCTGTGAATGCCTGTGATTCGTAATTCGTACAGTGCGTACGCGAAAAGTTTGTGCCAGTTTGTGCCCACTGTGCTTCCGTGCCTTCGGCAGGCAGAGGACCATGGCGACCATGGGCTCGTTGATGGGCTCTGTGCCATGGCTATACCGCTCAACGTGGTACCGCTGTAACTATTTTTGAAGGGCGGTAGCGTGCGCCATCTAGCCCACATTTCTCACGAACCTCCTTTCTCCCCTTTCTCTTAAAACCAACGAGCTTAAAACACACAATAGCAATTTCTTTTTCTCTATTTCCTCACACTTATCACGGGCGTAAGAGAAATAGATGGCATATGAGGAACTAAAAAAAACAACAAACGAAATAAAAGGAAGCTTTCCCATCTTTTCTCTGAGCCTACCTTTACCACACAAAGGCGACACCAAGTGGCGAGCACACAAACTATATGTTTGGTGGGGATGGATGGATGAAGGGACTGAATTTTTAATCAGCCATTGGCTTGAGTCACCGGCTAGCTCTGCAGGGACAAGTTCAAACTGTGTGCCAGATGCATACTTCATTAACTGTTTCGTGGAGCGAACCGGTGTTATCAGCTCTTGAAGCCACGCCGAACGGCACATAAACTCCCCTGTTCCAATGGAGCCAAGCCTGTCGTCCATAGCAGCGCTCTGATGGATAGGCTCCCTTTGGCTGGCACGCATCATAGTTTCAAGGAACGAGGCTCCCATTGGCTGCCGCGCGGCGTAGTTTCAAGGACCGCCACCAGAGCCCTCACCACGGCAGTGCGGCAGCCGGTAAGAGGGAGACGCTGGCTGCAGAGCCCGCACGGGCAAACTCCGGAGAGGCTGCACGGCCGAGCTCAGCGCGGCGCAGCCACTTCAAGAGAGTGCATGCTCAGCCATTGGCCGCAACCTACGCAGAAGCAAAACGTGGCCTTCCATGTCATACGCTGCAGACAAACTAGAGCGGAAGAATGACATTCATGCTTTCGCATTCACAACTCATAAAAAGTGCTTAGGTGTCTTTGTAGTTGTTTTTTTATCACAAAATTGCCACTTTTGTGTAGGGCGAGCATTTCAGTACGAGAAGACCAGTTTGCGTGAAGTCACGCTGTACTACGACGTAGCACTTATTTCAAGCAAAATCGCAATGCATACGAGTCACTGATGGACAGTGGCGTACCCCATTATCAATGTTGGGTAAAGTACATCTAAAAAGTAATTGAAGTAGAAAGTAAATGAGAGCTGATGCACTTCAAGTAAAGTAATAAGTACACCGAGTGCAATGTACTATAAATAGGATGTACTTTCAAAATAAAGTACCAGTACATTTTAAGTCTTTCATGATGCCCTTCCGTTCCCCTATACAGTGATTTTTTAACTGGTATGCATTGCCCCAGGGATAATTGGGGGGGGGTGCATCACTTAATTTTTTTGGAAATGGCGGTGAATATTGGATAAAGTCAAGTGGCCACAGAAAGTTATTTTCAGAAATGGTGCCAAACTCAGAAGTTCAGCTTCTGAATTTGGCACTGCTTGTACTGGCTTGTTGCACCAGAGAATCAAGTAACTTTCAAGTCGAAGGAAAAGACGAGAGGAGAATGCCTCAAACCATTGAGACTCTATCCTCTGTTGTGTTTTTCTTCGACTTGAAAGTTTCGTAATATTTCCGCATCAGTTTCAGTTGTTACATTAAGAATTCCTTGTCCTCTCCTGACATTTTTCACCTCCTCGCTTGCGCTGACCGAGCGTGAAAAAGCGAAAGTTCGCAAAGCTATGGGAAAGCCGCCCCCTAGAGCAAATGGAGCGATGCATCGTCTGCTGGTGTTTTTGGTGAGATCTCCTAGTATTTCTTCAGAGTTGACAAAGCACAATTTTTACGATACAAATTTAACAGGACCAAATTCGGGGAATGTACTTTGAAGTCAGTATGCATGTTGTACTTTCCTCAGAAAGTACCAGAAAAAATACCTTAAGTAAAATACAAGCACAAGTTTTCTAAACCTACTGGAAGTAGGTAGTACTTTAAGTACTATGTACTTAAATAATTTCCAACACTGGCCATTATCATAGACGCAGAAGGGGTGCACCCTAGTCCAAACAAAGCTCCTGCGGCTGAAGTCAAAGGAATTATAGTTTCCTTGGCTTGGTCAACTATTAAAGGAAGCGTATCCCACACCTATCTACGGATCTACACCCCTTGCATCAACTACTGGCAAGTGGAATGCCCTGGTGCTGAAACTGTACTTGTCCACCGTTTCTATCTCAATGTTCGTTATTTTTATAAGGTCTCCTTGTCACTAAACCAGTTTTTTCAGACTCTGTCAAGAGCAGATGGTGCCGTCGTCTGCTTTCAGGCGAGCATCGCGAGATGGTTATAAGCCCGACTCTCTGGCAGCTTGCCCACTGAACACAAAGTCATCTATTAGACGTCTTGGCAAGACAAGCAAGAGGTCTTATAATGTCTTGGCAAGACGTGATAGCCTAAGACGTCTTGCGTCATCCTGTAGCCACCCTGTAGACTTCATAACGCTCCCTCTTTTTTAAAATATGTCTCCTAGACCTCTTAGAGACAGCTACAAGACGCGAGCCATCTCCTTGAGATGTCTTTTAGACGTCTACGTCAAGATATCTTGAGATGTCTTGCGTAGCCCAAGACGTCTCTAGCTTAGTCGAGCCGTTTCAAGCCGGCTACGAGAAGTCTTGTGCTCAGTGGGTTGGTTGTCTGGTTTAGAGAGGAGGGATACAATGAAAACTCAACATACACCAACTTTATTTAGGAAGAAATTATTAGTTTTTGGCAATATAACAAATATCAGGTCAGCAAAACAGATCTGGGCAATGTTTCGTCCATGATGTCGTCTCCTTTCAAACTTTGCTTCCCCCCCCCCCCCCCCCCCCAGCCCATAAATCTGCCCGTTTGGAGCCCACATTAAAATTGTCCAAGATCTCATTTTGCACAAGAATGTAGCTATGCAACGAACCTTCACAAAGTTGAATCCAGCACCAAAATGCAGCTTCGACTAAAATTTGAGCTTGTTACATGCAGGCAGCCATTTTCCTGCTCAATTTACGTTGAAGAGCTCAATTCCAGGCAAACTATATATTATGATGAAATGCAAAGGTGACAATGGATATTCCTACACAGGTTCTCGCTCTATTGCTGCTGGCTCTGTAGTATCAGCTCCCCATGTTATAGTATGTTGTCCCTGTAGTCCTCCCGTAAGAAACTTACCAATTTCCCATTACCCGTTGCACTTCGCTGCGCCCAAAGGCATGTCTTCCCGATTTGTTTTGCTTCTCGAAAAAAAAACACACACACTTAGAAAATAAAGCACCTTGTGTACGGGGGTGGGGTGACGGATTCAAATCAAAAGTGCTGCGTTGATGAAAGCTGGACTAAACATTGACAGCACTTATTAATGCGAAAGCCTTACTTGTCCTATGGAGCGAAAAAGTGGCGTCGTCGTGCCTGAAATATGGCCATACAAATATGTCATCAAGCACGTGCCGCTGAATCGTAAGCTTAAGGACGACGCCATCCTTAGCGTCGTCGTAGAGGTCATCCTAAACATCATCCTCTAGGTGTTGTTCTCGATGTCGCCCTTAAGGTCGTTCTAGAGGTCGTCCTAGAAGTGTTTTTACACGTCGTCCTCTAGGCGTCAATCTCGACGTTGTCCTTAAGGTCGTTCTAGAAGTCTTCCTAGACGTTGTCCTTGAGGTTGTCCTCGGCGTCGTCCCAGACGTTGTACTTGGCATCAATCTCTAGGACGTTGTCCTCGACGTCAACCTATACATCGTCCTAAACTTTAATATGTGTAGAAACATTATTCGAAAACTTTTTTCCCGCACTATAATGCTTTTGCCTTCCTACACGTAAGCAGTCTTAAATGTCCTCCTGTAATTTTTTTTTTTTTTTGGTTTCCTTTTATATGCTCAAATAATGTGCAGAAAGAATAAACAAGTAAGGTAAATGCCTCGACACAGGATGAAAAATTGTCAACTCCAAATATATGTGCGACTGAAGTCATCTGGCTTCTCTGACTTGGGCCACGAGTATACAAGGTATTTCTTGAAACACGAACCGAAGCGTTTGTGCGAAAAGCATGCATCGCACAAAAAAAGGTTGACGTCCTATTGGCCTCTACCGAGGGGCGCATTTGGAAAAATTTGAAATGTTCTGTACGATTAGTTTATTAATTACTTTGAAGTAATTCACTTTTTCATGATTAAATTAAAAGGTATGGTTTCAATTAGAAACTTTCTGGGCATCCATGAAAATCACCAAATCAACTAATTTGACAAAAAAAAAATAAGGTACATACAGCATTTTGCGACATTCCCCCTTTCTTATTGGAGTGCATTTTTGCGCCAGCAGTCGTGTGCACAACTCAAGTGTGCCAGACTTTCTTCCCTCCTACGAGACAAGAAATTAAGTGCACACTTGCACGGCAGTAGCAGTGCACCTCGGCCACTGGAGGCAGGACCACTGGCAAAGATGCGCTTCGATAAGAAAATCGAAACCTAGAAGCACGTCCAAATTGAGTACATTTTTGGAACACCGCAAAATTCTGTACGTACCTTATATCTTTGTAAGATCCGTTGATTTAGTGATTTTCGATGATGCTCGGAGAGTTTCTAATTGAAACCAAACCTTTAAATTTAATAATGAACAAGCAAATTACATGTAAGTAATTCATAAACTGATTAAACAAAACATTAATTAGAAGAAAGCAGGTCCTTTGGCAGAGGCCCATTTGACATTATCCCTTTTTCTGTGGGACGCCCTTTGAGAAACACCCTGTATAGGCAAAAGTTGTTCTCTTGGTGTCTTCCAGATGTAGGCATTTGCAACCACCGCTCAACCGCAAAAATTGCCATATCCTCATCTTCAAACTTGTGACAAGAAACAAAATCAAAACGCCTGCTGAGGCTCCACTAACACAACCTACACGAGAGAAGGGTGCAACACTCCTCCACACTTGTGCAGCACACTTGCATAACCGCAAAGGAATCGCTCGAGCACACGTTGTCCCAGCAACCTATTCAATTTTTAAAAAAGAAATTAAAAAAAAAAGGCCCTTTCAAATTTAGATTGTGAGGTGTAAACAACATTTAAAGTACAGAACATTTATTTTTAGATGGAAGCTCTATGAAGCACGAATACCTTTTTCATGAAACTAAGGGGATGAATATTTACAAATAAGTGGTTACTCTGCTACACTCGTGCTTTTCCTCGTACGTAGTACTGAAGGTGAAGCACTTTACTTAGATTTCCTTTTTCTTTTCCTCGGTCTAGCCTTAGCAAGAGCAGTTGCAGTTTCGTTGTCCACAATGGCAATGTCGTCGATCACGCTGAAAGAAAAGCTTTTCAGCAAAATGTGCGTGCTGCACCACAACACATGCTTGAGCACGAGCTCACCCGTGTGTCCGTCTTCGCAGGCGTCAAAGTCGGAAGACCTCTCACTCGTCAGCAGCTCCACCGTGAGGTCTGTGAGGAGCTGGTGCTGATTCGGAGCCTTCATGAACTTGGTCTGCTTTGACAGTTGCTGAACGACGACATAGCTGTATGCGACGGCGTTTAGAGCAAACATTGTTGGAAAAAGAAGCCCTTCTCCGTCCAGTTCCTTGATGAGCTCGTAGTGCTGCTCCGCGACAGAAATTGTGATCATCTTGTTTATTGTCAAGGCGGCTTTGCACTTTGCACATTTCAGCCTTTTCAGGGTGCTACGGACCGCATGTCCAGTCACGTAGACCAGGAGTGGGAGGATGTCTTCTAGCTTTGACAGGGCCTCCCCCGTCACCACTACGTCAAAGCTAGGACACGTGTGTTCTCGTCTGTCGAAACCCTCCCACAGCTTGTCTCCGCCACCATCCATCCCGCAGGACATGGCAATCGTCGGCAGCGTGTCTTGCAGCCGCAGCTCGTCTTCGCCCTCGTAGAGCTGCCTTATGGACACATGGTACTGGGAGCCGGCCAGATGCCTGTATTTCCCGAAGCGCTCTTCCAAGCCGTCTGTCTGAATCTTCCCCAGGAGGACATACGGTAGCTTGAGCTCGGTGAAGCAGTAGCTGCTTATCTCCACAAGCGCATGGGTCGTCTGCTGGAGAGCAGCATGGGTCTCGCTGGTGAGCGTTCCGCTGTCCAGGTCCTTGCTCTTCCAGTCGTCCAGCCAGTCTAGAAACTTGTACAGGAAGTCCACCTTGGGATCGTCATCGGATGGAAGCACCGGGTCTTGGAACTGGTCTCTCTTTCCTTTGCCCGGAGCCTGCACGTTGACGATTTTCCACCACTTGACCATGATCTCGATGAAACTTGCCGTTTCCTTGAAGAACTGCAGGTCGTGCCTCACTCCGAGCGAACGGAGGGCCCTAGGCAGTGAGTTCTTGAAGACCTGCAGGGCAAGCTTCGTGTTTTGTCGGTCGACGCTCGACGGGTAGAGGGCCTCTCTCGACACGTTATAGCGAAACCTGAGCTGTTCGGTGCGCTCTACGTTGTACGCCTCTCTGATGGTTGCAAAAGATGCGTACAGCATACGCTGTGCCCGCATTGGCTCGGTCTGGAACTCGGGAAAGGAGAAGCAAAGTAGGTCGTTGCTCTGGTCGAGCCAATTGTTGCGTACGCTCTTGAGTATGTATACCGGGTCTATCACGTAAAACAGCGGCCTTGCGGGATCAAACGGGTGTGGATAGACAATGCCATTAGTTGGAGGCGATGTGAAGTGAGACATTGCCTTCTTGTTCACCGAGTTGCCGTCGCTTACGACACACGCAACCCTGAACCCAATCTTCTCCAGACCACAAATTGCGTCTCTCAGCAACTTGTGGAGAAGCTGCGCGTCGGCTCTTTGAATAGGGACGACATGAACTACTTCCTTGAATTGGCACGTAAGGCTTTGTGCCATAAGAACATACACACTGTTGGCCACTTCTGTGGGAGGGAGTGGCACATCAGTAACGCTGACCCCCTTGTACTCAGAATAAGGCTCGATGTGAACCTCGTCCACCGTCACAGTTATAAACCGCTGCTGACCATCCAGGTCAGGGATCCTCTTTGCCACATAGCTGAGGAATGTTGCGCTTTGATGCTCTGGCTGGGGACTCTTTCCAAGTGACGAGCATATCGACTGGATCGTCATCGGGTGCGGCAAGGTGATGCTCCCGGAGCAACGGATGTACTTGTAAGCATGAGGCGATATCGTGAAAAGAATGCAGGAGAACACCATGAAGTCCACCGAGTAACGCCTCTGTTCCTTCTTTGTTGTTAGAAGGTTCAACTGCTCGCTGAAGAACTGGATGGCACGGGCCTTGTCCTCTGTCGGTTTTGCAGACAACTTTCCAAGCAGCACACAAATAGTCTTGCAGAGGTCCTTGTCCAGAGATTGAGAACTTGAATTGAGGTCATTGTCCCAATCCTCGATGCTACGAAGCAGCCCCATCACTTCCTTCTTGCTCCTTGCAACAGAAGGAACGTACAGACTGGATCCCAGCTTTCTGACTGCCGTGTTCACCACATGGAAGGTGAGTGTGAGATCAGTCTTCACAACGAGCGAGTACTTGATCCACGGTGCTTCATCCTCAGCAATGTGCAGAAAGCTGATGCGTTCGCTGCTCTCAATACAAAGCCAGAACGCAGAACATGGTTCATTTCTGATGTGGTCAGCTAGATCGCTCATACTGAGGATTCGGTCTGCTTCTTCTTCGGTGGCACATGTGTCGACGGGCCCTAAAGGCTCAGCTTCTATGGCATCAGCCTCTGGAAGCTTTTGCCCCGTGTCGGGGTCCTCTCTTGCAGCGGCTTCACCCGGCACGCGGTCTGGGCAATGCAGGTACTTCGTCGGAATGGTACCTGGGCGAAGGCGTGGATTTGACAGCTTTGAAACCACCACATTCCCCGCTTTCTTGACGCGAGTTTTCTCCCGGATTATGTCTTCTTCTGCGAAGTGACGTTCGCACACCTGAAAAATAAGTAATTTTAATCCTGTGTTAATAAGAGCTGCTCGACAAATGCACCTCACAAAATGGGACGCGAAGATTCATGCTTCAAAAATATGTTGACTCCATAGTGTATGGAGAAGCATAGCCAAGGACTTGGCAGTCCCTGCTCGTGCTTCGATTTCTCGACCGTTGTAGCGCTGTTTCGCATTCTGCGGGAGAAACGGCGATTTGAAATAGATTAGGGATTCCTCACCGCGGAATGCTTCGAAGGAACGAAGTCTTCCCGTCGTATGGCACGCAGCCAGGCCTTCCGCAACTCTTCCTCTTGGGGAAACATAAAGATGCGCACCCTGGGTCCCAATTTGTAGTTGCCGCGACACCCGGCCACACAGCACTTGTTCGGCATGTTGACGCACAGGCGGATGGCCGCGAAATATTCAGAAATTGCAAATACACCAAATACACCGCATCTATGCGCGCGAGCACAAAGCAAAACGCTACGCGCAACGAACGCTTGTCGGCGAAATGTCAGATGGCAGCGTATATCAGCTTCGTATGGTGATCCTTGCTCCTATGAGCTTCTGGGTGTGGAGTGGAGGACGGCAGAAAGTGGCCCGTCTTTGGCCTTCTCGTCATGACGAAGCGATGACGAAAACGTCACCGGCCTCGACGGCTGAAGTAGGCTGAACCATCCAAGTCGGCTGAACCAGTCACCACCCAGTGTCCACTGAAGAGTAAAGTTCCAGTGCGTCCGATTCCCGAACGACAAAACCGACAAACCTGCCAAAACTTCCAACGAGACGCTGACGCGGTGACCCCCTTTTATTCCTAACGTTGGTGGCTCGCTCGTCATCGGTTGTTGAGAAAGCCTAAAGTTGCTAAAGGTGTATCCACACGACGGACCAAATTGCTGTTTTGGTCCGCGGACCGCGCATCACGTGATCATACGTCACCGCTTTTCGAGGTCCGCCGGCAGTCCGCGGCCCGCGCTTGTGAGAAATGCCAAGCGCTTTTCTCGCCCGGATCTTGGCGGCGGACCGCGGCGTTTTTAGTATAATTGAAGTGCTAAGTCTGGCAACAAGCTGACTTTTGTTGTTTAGATTGGAATTCAAATCCAAAGTCGTGTTCTTTTGGCGCCAACTGTAGAAGACGAAGACGAACCTTTTGTTGTGCGACGATGGCGGCATGGTGCGACGATGCAACTTTTTACTTCATCGCGCTCGTGGAGCAATTCCACGCTCTGTAAGACAATAGATGCATGCCCTTTTCGGTTCACTTCAGTCCTCCTCGTCCTCAATACTCAACGCCAGGGCCACCACGGCCAAAAGTCTCTTTCGTTCAACCTCCATCTTGGTTCTTTACAAATAGCCTCAAAGCAGCTCGTTGCATGCGCTGGGCGGAGCTGTGAGGTCGAGGGTTAGACCGGCCTGTTCATTCTGTCGTCTGCTTTTTTGGTCCGCCGTGTGGATGCTCATTGCAGCCGGGCGGCCCGCGGGCCGCGCATCACGTGATCAATCGGTCCGCGGCCCGGTCCGTCGTGTGGATAGACCTTAAAGTGCTCAAATCAACAAAAGAAATCACCTCCTCTCCACTCCGACACAAAGGGGAAAGCGAAAGCCTTAGAATCCAACCCAATCCAATCCGATCCTTACAATCCAATCCAACCAAATTGTCCGTGAGGACTCGGGGGTGGCCACGTGAAGTGCACATGTGCAATGTAAACATGCCTCTGCAGCGATTGACCCGACTTACCCGTGTTTTGACGACAAACTGCCCAGCTTTGTATATCTCCCGGGTAAGTTCCCGCGTCTTTTTTCGATGCTTCTCTAGTCGTACCGCCGCTCGACCGCTGGCGCCTGAAATGCGCAAGTATCTCGTGCGCACTTTCCGCAGCTAAACTGGCCAAACCACCCATAGTTCTCATTCTCTCGGTGCCCACACACACCTCTCGCTCTCGCGCGAAGTTCTACAGAACACGACTTCCTCAGCAAAAGGCAAAGACAGAGGAAATAAGCGAAGGTTGTGGAGAGTCGGGCGTTAGGTGATCAGCAAAACCTGTATCGTAATTTTTTTTTAAAGCAAATTGCGTGTTTTTGTTTTTAAAGTAAAGTAGCAGTAGGTAGTGTATCCCCCCCCCCCCCCCCCCCCCCCCCCGTTTCTTTTTCATGAAACAATAAACACTTCGAAAAGTTCCCAAGAAAATGTACGCGACTCCCACATGCAGCTCGTGACGCTAAAGCACAAAACAGAACGCAAAAAGCAATAGGGTCAGGAAAAGTATATGGTAAGGGTATACTTTAAAATGGGGTGTAAGACAAAATAGTCCCGGTCCGAATGGTCCCAGTCAAAATGGTCCCGGACAAAATGGTCCCAGGGGATTTATCAATACTTTGAGAGCTCTTAATAGGACAAAATGGTTTGGTACTTCGAAATTTATTTTGAGGCACGTTCAATGTTAATAATAACGTTTTCATTATAATCATTTGAAACACATTTTTAATCCCTTCTATCTATACCATATAGCCCTATTTCTCAAAGGTTCTTGATTTCTACCGATACATTCCACGTGTGTAATAAATTATTTCTATCGCCAGAACCTGTTTTCAAATTAGCGCTATCGAGCTTCAAAACCATATCCGGAATGAAAACTTATCATGCACATACTACAGGTTCTTGACGTGGTTTTCTGAAATGAACCTGTCGTACCACCGTGTTCCGTTTTTCAGAAACAACATCGCTCTGTCTGAACAATGTATGTTAAAGAAATCAAAAAATGATTCCGCAACTATGAGCGTATTTATTACATGGACCACTTAAAGACCGACCAACGAAACCATCTTCCGCAAGGTAGGAAAATGGCCCTCGCGCCCTCCTCTTTTCACCCTCTCCCAAAAATCACGTGACGGCAGGGGCTCGTTTTGTGTCGGCTTTTTCTGTAGGGATAATCCTCAAAAACCGCGAAATGAGCGGCTAGCTGCGAGCGCAACAACGACCTTGAGACGTCCAGGTGTCTTCCCTCGTTGACGACGGCACGCTCAATCCGCGAGATTGAGGAAGCCAGCGCGACCGAACGCTTTTTCCCATGAGCTGCAGGTCTGAGGCCGCTCGGTCGGTGGAGATCGAGGGGTCTTGGTATGCTGTGTTCGTTCCAGCAGCCGCTTTCTGGCATCGCGCGGCTGCTGGAACCATTCCCGTCTCTGCACAAGGATTGGCTTGCGCAATAAAGGGTTCAGGTCGTCGATAATACATTTATTTCCGAAACTTATAAATCAAGTGGCTTTCCCTAATCTCTTCATTACTGTTTGAAACACATCTCCTCTCATATGTTGTTCCTCCCATTTTGGACTCTTTTACGTATTTATTCGTCCTTACCTCTACTTGATGACTGTTTTATAACTTGATAAAGACCTTTAAATATTGGCGCGGGCTGGCGCGATCAACGCTGTCCCGGATTTATTCAAAATTGGAAAGATTGGCGTCAGGAGGGATTGAAGAAGCAAACCGTAATTCTTGCTTCTAATGAAGACGGCACAATCGTACGATCGGTCTATGCTTCACTTGCCTCCACAGAGCCCCATCGTTTGCACTATCGCAACTTCTCAGTGACATAGCTGTATACCACATTTTACTGATGGTTACTATAGATGTGGCCCCACAGGCTTTCCCGGTATCTGCGAGTCGACTTTTTAACGACCGGTGACTCTCCTGAGTGAGAATAAAAATTTTCACCTTCCCACAACATCCGCACCTTTCTCACCCCCTCCCCCCCTCCCCTCCCTTTCCCGAGTTGGGGAAATATCAGGCCACTCCAGGAAGCAGCCTGCAGACTGCGCTTTTCGGCTACTCATTCTCAACATATTCGAACGTGGAAGTAAACACATTGCATGAACGACGCCCAGTTTATTGGCAACCTAAATAATGTGGCTCTACTGTTGGGGCCCAATCAATTTCATCATCAATCATTTTTTTTACGACTTCATGGTGAAAGTGTGTTCGTCGTGATGCCACAAAAGTGGTCGATTCAAAGGTAGAAATAGGTCCTCGTATTTATTTTGCGGAAATACGCGCTCATATATGACGCTCTAGTGCGCAAGGTCAACGCACCCGAGGCAGTGCGTAATACTTTAAAACTGTCGTTGACGATGAAATATTTGTGGGAAGTGCGTAAAATTGTTTACACCATAAAGCATACCGAAAGACAACAAAATATCGCAATGGCTAAAAAAAAAAAATAATAAAAAAAATCAGCTCGCGAAAACCGTTGCTTTCCTCTCTCTCTCTCTCTCTCTTTTTTTTTTTTTTTCGCGCCACTACAAAAGATAGCGGCCGAGCAACAAAATTCCATCAAAACCTCGCTTCTTGGAGAAAGGATAGTAGGCTATATGGTAGTGAATCTGCCAGGGAGTTTGTAGAAATAGTAGGCGACCATTGAACCTACCCTTCTGCACAAATCATGCCCGGGATATTTCCATTTTCCATTCACGCGATTCGAAGGCAAGACGCTGGGAGAATTCATGTGCACTAACATGCTGCTTCTAAAAGAAATTACCAGATTTATAGTGCATGTCAATTTAGATGTAAATATTTTAATCACTGTGCACAAACATTCGCGGCCTGAAGGATGACATGAAAGCATGGCGGAAAGCAGCTTGCTGAAGATAGAAGTCTCTGTTGCATTGCACTGGTGTGAAGAATTATTACGTATGTTTGTCTTATTTCCGTGCCAAAATAAAAACAGCGTTTAGAAATCGAACCCTGTCCTTTTTGAGGAGCGCCGAAAGGACATAAAAAACCGGGACAACTAGAGCTTGTCCTGGTTCCTTGTTTGTTCGGAGCCTTTCAAAAGGAGATGAAAATTATGAACTGACCCGACTTACCACATTAGAGCAGTTCATTTCCATTGCGACAGGCTGTCTTCAAGCGTCTTGCATAGTCCAGCTTGTACTGGTCCGTTTTTATTTTCGGTTCCTTTCAAAACGTGGGCTCTAAGCCACTGGACCTAACTACCACATTCATTAACTGCGGAAGCGGAGAAGTGGAAATGCAACAAAAGGAAAGATTGCCCACGTTATATGGGGCCTATAGAAAAGCGGACTGGATAGAAGGGGGCCGAAATCTTTTTCAAGAAACACACAATCTCCTCTTCAATTCTGTCTAACAATTTGATGTGAAGGTGTACTTGGCTATGGCATTATTCGTTTAGGAATCAAGCGAAACTTTGTATGGGATCATTATACGTTTACGTTCACTCCCATTCGATGCTTATCATGTTTTCGAGTATGCACACGGGATGGTTCTCAGCGGTAGTTTTTTAATCTGATTGCCCGCCAGAGTGCGAGCCAGAATTAACGCACTACGGCCGCGGGCCGTCGCGCTCTTCTCCTTCTCCGTATGAATATACAATCAAAGACGCGGGCGGAGCCGTCAATCGTGCTGGTGTCGGGAACCAGTAAGTCTGACCCTTGAAATGCAAGCGTGACGCAAAACCCAGAGGCGTCTCGTTCGCCCACTTACGTTCTCCCCAGGCGGCGGAGATTGTCGTTTAGAGGGGATTATCTTCTGAACGGATCCAAGTTACTCGAGCAAGCTCGCATTCTGCTCGCAAAGCCCAGCCGCTAAGCAAAGGTAACGGACGGTGGTTCGAGGGGCTTGCAACCCTTGCCCGCTTGGCCCTCCCAACCACTTCTCCGCTTCCGTAAATTTTGAATGTTGTAGGTTGGTCCAGTAGCTTAGAGCTCACTTTTTGAAAAGAACCGAAAATAAAAACGGACCAGTACAAGCTGAACTATGCAGGACGCTCTAAGAGAGCCTGTCGTAATGAAAATGAACTGCTCTAATGTGGCAAGTCGGGTCAATCGGTTCATAATTTTTCATCCCCTTTTGAAAGGCTCCGGAAAAACAAGAAACCAGGAAAAGCTGAGTGACGCAAGGCGCCTCGTATTGTTCAGGTTGTCCCGGTTTTCTATGTCCTTTCGGCGCACCTCGAAACACAGTGTTCGGTTTCTAAACGCTGTTTTTATTTTCGCACAGAAATAAAACAAAAATACGTAATAATTTTTCACACCAGTGCAATGCAATAGAGACATATTTCCAGCAAGCTGCTTTCCGCCATGCTTCCATGTGATCCTCCAGGCCGCGAATGTTTGTGCACATTGATTAAACTATTTACTTGTAGATTGACATGCACAAGAAATCTGGTACTTTCTTTTAGAAGCAGCATGTTAGTGCACATAAATTCCCCCAGCGTCTTGCCTTCTAATCGCGTGGAAGGAAAATGGAAATATCCCGGGCATGATGTGCAGAAGGCTAGATTCAATGGTCGCCCTTTATTTCTACAAACTCCATGGCAGATTCAGTACCCTATAGCCTGGTGTCCTTTCTCTAAGAAGCGAGGTTTTGATAGAATTTCGTTGCTCGGCCGCTATTTTTTGTAGTGGCGCGAAAAAAAAGAAAGAGAGAGAGAGGGGGGGGGGGGAAGCAACGGTTTTCGCAAGCTGATCTTAACAATTTTGTGGAAAGTGCGTAAACAATTTTTGCGCACTTCCCACAAATGTTTTATCGTCAACGACAGTTGAAAAGTATTACGCACTGCCTCGGGTGCTTTGACCTTACGCACTAGAGCGTCACAGGAGCGAGTATTTCAGCAAAACTTTGAATCGATCACTTTTGTGGCATCACGACGAACACACTTTCACCATGAAATCGTAACAAATAATGATTGATGATGAAATTGATTGTGTCCCAACAGTATACAGCCACATTGTTTAGGTTGCAAATCAACTGGGCGTCGTTCAT